AAAAAAAAGAAAGAAAAAAGGTGTTATGATTATTTTCAAGTTTGAATTAAACACATATATTTTTGCCCTTTACTCAGCCACACAAATATTTCTTAATTTAGAATGCGCTGTGGGATACATCCCCTCATTTCTGAAACTATTTCTCAAGTATAATGAAAAAAAGTATCCTCCATTTCCTCACCTTAGCTTACTCCATTTGATACCTAAAAATTATTTCCTTTTTAAAAATTGTATTTATTATTTTGTTGTTGTGAAACATACACCTGCAGTTTGTGTCTACATTTAGTGACACTGCTTACAGTCTGAGTCGTGCAACCATTCTCACCTGAGTTGTTCCTCCCTCATGAACAGATTGCAAAACACGCCCTGACCCAAATCTTATCAGGTACTGTCATCAGTTTGATCTCATGGAGATAATTCTTAGGAGCATAATGCTCATGGTAGACATTTTTCACTAATGAAGTGAAATTACTTTTTGGTTTTAAGAAGACTTCAAGGCATATTTTTGGTTTAAGCTTTAAAGATTATTTCAGGGTAACAGTTTCAGAGGTTCCTCTAACTTCATGGTTCTTTATACTTACTGGGCTTTTCATGCACAGAATTGACTACTTTTACATTGTCCCATACAAAGAAGATTTAAATTACTCATTAAATTCTCTCCCTATAATTGTCAGAAACTTAAGAGTTTTCAAAAGTAATTTTCTACATTTCAGTTAATGCCATCTTTATCTCTTTGGAGACAACATTGCATATTTTCAGCCTTATGTATTACTAATCACATGAACAAACACACATCTACCTACAAATATCAGCAAGGGTTACCTAATTCCCAATATACCAGTGGCACTTCCATTGCTTTCTCTGTATTCAAGAAATCATATCATTATGTGGCATGCAAGTTAGTGAATGAGATGTTGATAAGATAATTTTTAGCTCAGTCCAAGGCATGTATAAAACATATATATATATACAAATTATATGCACAATCTGGTATTATAGTACAAGTTCCAGATAATATTACATTTCCAACTGATCTCAAAGTACCAGTGGCTGAGAAATTATTT